CACAGAGCGCAAGCCGCTCTGAAAGCGGCTTCGCAAATCGCTCGTAGAGCATCTCTGCCTCCTGCGGTAACGAAGCCCCGGGAAAACGAGCTCCTGCTCTCGGCCGGTCTGCCCTAGCACCCGCCCTAAGCCCCCTGGGTAACGCTGCTGGGGGAGTCCCCGTCCCCCCACCCCGGGATGTTGGGGGCCACGGCGCCGCCGGAGCTGCCCAGCCCTGAGTGTGGCCCAGTGTCGCTTTTAAGAGCATTTTTAGGGTGGGGATAAGGTAAAGCTGCGGGAGGGCGTCTACCCCGGCTTCGCTTGGGCTTCCAAAAGCAGCTCCGCGCCACCGCCACGTCGGCCGAGGCAGGGACCCCCGGGGCCGGGATGGCCAGCCCGTCCAGCCTCCCTGTGAGACCAAGGAAGAAGCGTTTTCTAGTTTTCTCCCCCCAAAAACACCCTTACCACTGTGCCCCCAGGACTGGCTGGAGCGATGCTTGGACATACTCCCGCCGCAGCCGATGCAAATCTGAGGCTGCCGCTCCCCTGGGGAAGGGGGTCCACGGCCATCGGCTCCCCAGAGCGCTGCCGGAGCAGCTAACGCTGGCCGGAGTTTAACGAGGACGGCCCTAACGGCCCTCGCTACTGTGAGCGCCCGCTCAGCATCCCGCTTTTTAAATTTCTGGGGAGAGATTCACCCCGGGAGCCGCGCTCTCATTGTGCCTCAAAATATCCCTCTGATTAATAGCAATTATAGTACTTCGTAACTACCAACTGCTGCGGAAATATAAAGAACCGGGGAGGGGGGGAAAAGTAACGAAGCCCCTGGCAGGGACAAAAATGTACCAGACAGCGGCTTGCGAGCGTGAAGGGAGAGGAGGAGAAAAAGCAACGCAGGGCGGCAGCAGCTTTCAGGGTTAGTGAGGACCTGCAGGCAAGCGAGCGGGAGCAGCCGGAGCTCGGAGGGGAGACGGACGGACAGAGGGCGGGACGGCAGGGTGGCTGGCAGGGGGAGGAGAGCT